AATCGTAAATACTATCCAATTCATCAGACCTACAAATTCAAAAAGAAAACAAAAAAAAAAAAAAAAAAAAACAACTCCAGGAATAAAAAATAAAATTTAGAGAGAGTGTAAGTATGATAGTGCGGGACGAATGTTAGACATATAGAGAGGGGTAACAGACGAGAGAAGGTGGGAGATTAAAACTTAACAGAGAGAATGGGAGTCAAAGACGGTTTAAGTGAGAGAAATATGAATGTTGTCGGATGTCTAATACATTAAAGATGTAACCAGAAAGGATACATTTTGTGGAGACATTCACACACAAAATACGATCTAATCTTAAAGATCAGAAGAAGAGGGAGGGAGAGGAAAATAAAAGAAAAGAAGAAGGGGTGGGGAGAAAGATGGGGCGGGGGGAACTAAAACTGAAGGGTATTTATAAAAGGGCCGCTGGGTAATTAAGAAAAGTTGACAAAATTAATATCGACTACAGGTTACAAATCAAATATAAACATATAAAAAATAAATATAAGGATTATCTAATCTAGCAAGGACCTATATTTCTATGTTCAAAACCATATGCGTATACACACGTACACAATAACATATACACGTACATGCATACATATAGGCGTGTACACACATACATACAAATATACCCATGTACACATACACACACACACATATATATATATAATCATATACAGATATATATATATATATACATACATACACATACACATACATATATGTATACATATACATACATAAACACACACACATACATACATATAAACATATATCCATACACATCCACTCCTACATATATAGACATTTACACACATATACACATACGGACATACACATACGTGCACATAAACATATATAAATAAAGCCTCACATCTCCATACAATTGCATACACCCATCTAAACAAATAAACAATGTATCCCTATATCTATCCGTCTAACTATACATACATACATATACACTCATATACAGATATATATGAATACATGCATACCAAAACATACACACACACATATAAACACATCTACATACACATCTACCTACATATACATACATCAACATACGCATACATATATATATATATATATATATATATATACGCATACATATACATATATATATATACATACATACATACATACATACACATACATATAAACACTCCTACGTATATACACATATACACACATACACACACATGTACGCACATATATATATATATCCATATAAATCAAAATGTAAAATTTAAAAAAGTAAAATTTAAAAAATTTTGTCTCAAAAAAAAAAAAAAAATACATAGCGCATCACATAGTCATACACAATGCTATATATAGATAAACATAATAGATAAACATAACAGTAATTCTATTAAAATGTCATACCCGATGTTATTGAACCAAGATGGAACTGACATAAGTGACATGTTATAAAACGGTATTATATTTTGAATCGTTTCTTATGTCTACATTTAGAAAATATCTCATTACGAAGATTTAGCAACTCATTATGATTCTTATCTTTAATAATAAAAATGTTTTTCCGCCATGCACAGATCACACCGATCGCGGAAGTTATTAGTGGTTCTAGCTCTTGATAAGTATCTCCATTTTAAAAGTGAGGTTAGTCCCTTATCCACCAGATCCCAGTAATTTTGGATAAGGAAGTTTGATTTCTGATTTATCTATATCTAAAAGAGCGTCTATGGTTGTATAGACGCTGCTTCCAATTACCGGCGGATATACCTATATATATAATTTTTTCTGATTTATATTTTCATCGGGGAAGATTGTTGCCTAGTATACTACATTTTCATACTTACATTTACCCCCAGTCTAGTAACCCTACCTGCAAATGTAGGAATAAAGACCATTGTCCATGATTCCTGAATTTATTTTTTAGAATTTATTACTAAATTTATCTGTTTAGTAACAGAAATGGTAGAATTCAGTTTCCATAACATCATGTATGCTATTTATCATGTGTCGATGGGGTTTGAATAGGCAGTCTCTTGGGGCACGTGCTAGCCATTATTTGTTTTGGTTTTCATGAAACCCTCCTGTCTGAAAGACACCAGAAACCTCACGTATACATACGATTTGTTGACGACATTTCTCTGCCTTTGATTCCGTTGAGGATGCAAAGGACTCCCACGCCCAACTCAAGTGCCTTCATCCTTTCCTTCAGTTCACTATTGAGCGTTCTTACGTTGTTTTTTTTTTTTTTTTTTTGTACGTACTGCTTGAACGGAATGATGATTCCTTCATTACCAGCCTGTAACGAAAATCTACTTTCATGGGTCTGTACACCAATTGGAATTATTTCGTCCCCAAGTCCCGCAAGACAAACCTGATTTCTACCTTAACCCACTGCGCGTTGATGTTATGTTCTCGCATATTCGATAAAGAAGTAGAGAACATTTATATCATTTTCAATGACGATGTGTATTCTGAAAATATCATGAAGTTCACGGTGGAACGCAACATTAAATACTTCACGGCCGCGGTAGTTTTGGTGCTGACCTGTGCGCCCTATATTTGAAATTGTCTTGGCTGGGCAGGAAAAGTCAGACACTAGAAAATAGTCGGCCTATGTTACATCGGATTTTTCGGTGGTTAGGTTACCATTCTGTTTTCGGAACTAATCCGGTTTTCCTCTCGTTAGTCAAAGATTGTTTGTCCTACACACCACTACTATGTTCAACCGATTATCGACTCGAAGAACGGATCAGACAATTTGTTTTTGTCAATATAAGGCAGGTTATTTTTAATTACAGTATGCGTTTTAACCAGTCTGTTCATGATTCAGGCATTGGTCAGTATTTGTGAGACAATTGCAGTATGCGGCAAGATATAGTCATAGTTCGCTCAACATTTACGCATGTTAAAAGCATTTTTGTTAAATTACACCAGTTGTCTCTATGCAAAGAGAGCATTTTCTTCGCTCTCTCCTTCTTTTAGGGGGTATGTCTGTAGATTTTTCCATTTTATACTCATTACGAACCGTTTAAAGTAACTCTTTTGGCAATATATGTTTTCTCTTCGCCCTCGTTTTTTTATTAATACATTTGTATTTTAGATGGAGTCATTTTTTTCCTGCTTATATTATTCCTTTCTCGCAGGGTGAATTGTTATTCTGTAGATATGGTGGTGTAATGAATAGCGGCTCGTATTGAGAAATCTGTAAGCCGAGATCGAACACCAGTCGGATCCATAACATTCACTTACGAAGTAGGTTTGAATCCTCCTCTTCTCCAGCTATGGGCGAATAGCAGAACAGACTGGCTTCTAAGCCTTGGGTGCCAACCGGTCTAGGAGAAGGAAAAACACTGAATTCAAAACCGTCCTCGGCTCCGTCAGGTTTGGGGGCTCCCTTCTCCGTTAGTTAGCGAGGCCTTCTTCTCTTCTCTACTGGGTGTAAGATTCGATTATGTTAAATCAATATGTACAAACGTATTCTTCTGACGAAATCTCGGTTGAAAAGATTCCTTAAAGAAAAATGAAATCTATAAATAAGTTCTGTGTTGTACAAACACACACACATACACACACACACATACATATATATATATGTGTGTATAGAATCGAATTCTGACGTTCGTAACATTCAATTTAAAAGAGTCATCAATAGAAATATATATTCTTTATTTTAGGATATTACATCAAAAACATGAAAAGCGCTACACAAATAAAATCAGAAAACGTACACCCTCTTTTCTCGTGAAAAGAGGTTATATGTTGTCTTTATATATCAATAAATTGTCTACTCACCAGTTATATATTAATGCCCGATGTGTTAATATACATCGAAACATGATTGCATTTGTGTAGCGTTTTTACATGTTTTATAGTAACATTCTAAAATAAAGTGTATATATATATATATATATATATATATATATATATATATATCCCTGCAAAGAAGACTGATCTTTCAATTCTGTCGGAAGCCAAATAGATTTCTCGAGTTTGCTGGCCGGTAGGCGACATACATAAATAAAAAGTTACACACAAGACCATTACAGAAATGGTTGAAGTTCAATTCTTCTTGATAATTAAGAGGATTCAACCTTGACCACCACACGGGAAATTACCAGTGACAACTGCTGTCCCTAATGAATATGTAAATGATCCATAATCGACCTTCTTTTATCTATTCAAGCAGATTAAATCAAATAATCAGCTTTTTCTATTAATCGCTATCTCCGTTTTCAGTGATTTGAATTTTCTTTTGCTTGTTATAAATTAATTTTTTTTGGGGGGGGGAGTTTTTTTCTTTTTCATTTACGTTTGCTTACTCGTGAATAAGCCGAATCTTCGTGCTATATTTTCCAAAAATCTTCACCAAATCATAATACTTAAACATCTTGGAGACATTTGATTGCCTTATAGAACGGGTTGTGAAACAATGAAAAGATAAATGAAATGTTCTACTGATAATAAAAAAGCAATTATTATAAAGACTGTAGTATATCTAATCATAGCTCTATATTGATTGCAGCGTTGTTTAAATAAGCAGTTTTCCTACACTGATGAATGTCTGAAACGCTGGCAAAAGCACAAGGCCATCTGATCTTAATTGGTCTGTTTTTAATATATCGCTACAATTGATCATTAATTATTGACCTACTGTGCCCAGCTGTTAATTATCCACTTGTACGATAGAACCGGATCAAATAACAATCTCGCTTAACGCAAACTTTCATATAATTAATTACTTTTTGTTAGTTTTCTCCAGAAAATATTTACTTTCCTTATTTCCACCTATGAAGGGACTAGACCACTTGAATGAGTTTTTTGGAATTTTTCTATATAGGTTTTCATTCATTAATTTATCGATGATATCTCCGGTTTATTATTTAATTTTTGATATTTTCTTTTCCATGATTTGTTCATTGGCATTTCATTTTTCATTATTTTGCTATGTTGCTTTTTTATCTCATTTTCTTTTATATTTCATTTTGTTTTAAGTTATATTTTCTATTTAATTTCTTTTTATGACTTTTTTCTTCTTTATTTCTCTTTCATTTTTTCTTACTTTTTTCTTTTATTTTACTTACATTTCCTTGTTTTCGTCATTTCTGGATTTGTTATGGTTTTCTTCATTTTTTTTTTCGCTTAAGTTTTATTTCATTTTCCTATATTTCTGTCTCTTTCTTTCTTTCTTTCTTTCTTAATCTTTGTTTTTTATAGTTTCTTCTTTTTATTTTTTCTTTCTTTTTCTTTGTGTTTTCTTTCTTTTGCAGTGATTTTTTTTCTTTATAGTTCCTTGTTTTTCTTTCGTTAACTCTTTGTCTTCATCTTTTCTTTCCTTTTTTTTACTAAAGTTCCTTTTTTTTACTTTCTCTCCATCTTTTTCTTTCTGTCCTCCTTTTTCTTTCCTTCCAATTTTCTCTTCTTTTTCTTTCTTTTTCTCTAATTTTCTATAGTTCTTTTTTTCTTTCTATCCATCATTTTGTTTCCTACAATATTTTGTTTTTCTTTGTTTTCCATCTTTTTTTCTTTTTTCCTTCTTCTTGCCTTGTTTTTTTCTTTTTTTGCTCCATTTTTCTTTATTTTTCTTACTTTATTTTTTCTTTGTTTTCTCTATTCACTCCATTTTCTTTTATTTTTCTTTCTTTCCATCTTTTGTCTTGTTTTTCTTTATTTCCTTCTTAACTGTTTTTCATTCGTTGTTATTCTTCCTTTTGTTCTTTTGTCTGGTTTTCTTTCTTGTCTGCTTTTCTTCATTGTTATTTTTTTTCTTTTTTCCTTCTCTTTATTTATGTTTCTTTCATTCATTTCCGTTGATTTTGGTTTCTTTCTTTCAATTTTATTTCCTTTTTGCATTTTCATTTTTCATTCGTCTTACTTTTTTCATTTGTTATACGTTATTCTGCTTATCTCATTTTTTTCTTCTTTCATTTGATTTCTTTATTTTATTATCTCTTTCCTTATTTAATTCATATATTAATTCATCCTTCTTTTTTCTCCTTTAATCGAGCATTACATTCCTTTCCTTTCCTTCTGATCATCAATCAATCTTTTTTTCTTGTTCTCACTTTCTAAATAAAATAAAGTAAGTTCAAAACAATTTGAACTTACTTTATTTTCTCTCTCTTCATATTTTGTTATTCACTATATTATATCATCAGGTTTCCGAATTCTATTCGATATAACGTACTCCGCTACGCTACATTATCCGCCCTTTCGTAATTATGTTTCTAAAATAAAGCATAAGTTTTCATAAATTTACTTTTTCTTTGCAATTCAAATACTGATATTATTTCCAAAAATCAAACAGTAGACAAATGTTGAGATAAATCCATCATTAAACTACTTAAACGTTGAATGGTAGCATCCAATTAATTGCATTGAATTATCGAACTGGCTGGAATTATCGAGTTATGCTGACTTTCATATCAGAAAAAGCTTTAATATAATTGTAACGGAATGTCGGCTTTACATTTTATGTACGTGAACTTTTTTACTATTTACATTATTCCTCATCTTTGTCGCCATGTTTATTACAACGTTTCGGCCGTTGTACGTTCCCGCCTTCTTCAGGTGGTTGGAATGTCGAACTGAATCCTTTATTTCGCTCACTGGAGTAGACTGTTCTAGATCCACATGACATGTCTAATGGGTGTCAGTTATCTCCTGTTAATTCCCCTCTGCAAGTTCTCCACTGCCTTAACCAGGTATTGACCTCACACTGTTTGGATCCTGTCACTGGGTCTAACTAACGCTTTTATCTACTGTGCCATGTGTAATAAAAATGGCGACAGAGATAAGGACAATACTCGGAATAATGTAAATAATGTACATAATACCTCATTTCAGAAATATAGACGGATAATGAACTTTTTCGTAGCATGTAAATATCACCCATCTAAATGTTTTCAAGTAATTCTGCTTTGAATATTTAATAAATAGAACCACTCGACTTAAAACAAAATAAAAATGAATAAAATCGGTTTTCCGTTAAAATAAATGATCTGTGACATCGTGACGTTGGATTATAAAAAAATGAATAAGTTTAAATATAAATAGGAAAATCTGTGTGAACGTATTTATTGAAGGAAAGAATCAGTGTGTTGGTACTTTATGTTTTCTTAACGAAAAGCGAGGAAGTTCGATGTGCTATACAAGGTTAGCAGGTTTGTGTCACTAAATCATATTACTAATGTTTACTGAGTTCGATCCTTACTGGCTGCTTCAGTCTAAAATCCTTAATTGCTCCTTCAGTGAAACCAATTTCAATATAAGGCAACACTACCATCCTAGATTTAATTTATTGCATTATTATTTATTTAATATTTTATTTATTTCCGCCTGCCATGAATGTTTTGAAGACATCATCTTTCTTTTTATATGCCGTGTCTTTTCAGGACGTAGGCGATCATGGCCCTTCACTTCTCCCTATTCCTTTAAGCTCTCAATATGTTTTATCTCTTTGCTACTTTCCTTAGGCCATGTTCTGTTATCGACGTGCTTAAGCCCGCTATGTATATCACGCGTTGATTTCCCTTGTCTCTCTTTCGCTCTATTCGACCTGTCAGTATCAAATTCTCCAATCTCTCCTTTCTCATTAATTGCCCCAGAAATTTCAGCTACCTCTTCCTGATGATAAGTATAAGCTTCCTCCTTGTTAACATCCTCTCCAAAACATCATCGATGCTCACGCGCTCGGTTCATGATATAGTAAGCATCATTCTGTAGAACCACATCTCCGTCACCTCGAGTCACTTCTTCATCTTTGAGGAGACCGTCCAACATTAGCTGCCGTAAAGAAGGACAGTAGCAGCACAGTAATCTTTTCTTTGTTGTTTTGGCTATCATTGTTGCAGAGTCTTGGTCAGGGATATTTGTGTGTTTGAAAACCCATGGAGCTACTATGTGATATATTGTAATTATTGCATCAATGCCAAGTAAACTTTAGTTAGATTTTCTACTATTATCAAAACTAACAATATTTTGCCACGATGACATGTGACACATGTTAGCACAGCCAACAACCTAATTTAAATGACAAGGCTTCAGTCGGAATCCATGCCCCATTTTTAAGTGTGCTGAAGATCGGAGTTTTAAAGCCAAGAATATATCATCATGAAATCAGCTGGCTGACAAATCAAATTCGAACGCAATTCTCATAATCAGAAAGATAATTTTCACGGGAATATTGGCGGGAGATATGTATGAATTATCACAAGGTTATACATATATATATATATATATATATATATATATGATAAAAAGGGTTACAACTGCTCAATACACTTGTGAAAAAATAAAAGTAAAATAACATGTAAAGATTTTAACTTTAAAAGTGAGAATATTTAACTGATGTCTTGATTTTTCAAGTATATATATATATATATAGATAGATAGATAGATAGATAGATAGAGAGAGAGAGAGGGGGAGAGAGAGGAAGAGAGAGAGGAAGAGAGATAGAGATAGATAAATTCATTAAACAATACCAAAATCTAACTTCAAAATTATCCATCTTTGCAGCTATCCATTTATAATATATATATATATATATATATATATATATATATATATATATATATATATAGTCTCTATGTATGTATTAGAAGTCTGAGTTATTTGACTTCTGTTTCAATTATGAAATTTACGTTATTAGAAAATTCATTTGCCAAAAATGCAGTTAGTTTTCTGACATGAAATTATTGGAATTTAATTAAAAGTTGAAAAAGTTTTTTTCTGAAATTTACGATACACACACAGATACACAAGTACATATCTATACATACACAAATACACGCACGCACACACACCCCATAAATATATATATATATATATATATATATATATATATATATATATATATATATATATATATATATATTACGAATTGTTCTAAGACCGACAATTATTTTAATATATATTCCGGTTATACCTTATTATTTATCGATACAAATATTTAAGTAACTGCTCCGTTTATAATAAACACTAACAACATCATTTACTGGTCTGAATATCCGATAAATTTCATAGAAAATATGTGTCCTCCGATAGCAATCGAACCTCTATCCTACACGCAACGGTCACACTGGCTCACGTGCTATACTATTTAGCGTCAGAAATAATGATATTTACGATAGATGTTTTTTTATATTATGCAAAACGATTGCTTTTATTTTATTTCATATTTTTATATATAAAAAATTCACCTTATATTTTCCCTAAATTAAAACCGTAAACGATACAAAATATATTTTTATATTCCTTTTTCACATTTTTTCATTCTCACACACTCTCTCTCTCTCTCTCTCTCTCTCTCTCTCTATATATATATATATATATATATATATATATATATATATATATATGTATGTATAGAATATAATATAACAGAAATGAGTAGAGGAAAACCTTTTATGACCCCATTTTCATTTCTTAAGTATCAAGGCAATACATTTCACACCTACATACATATATATATATATATATATATATATATATATATATATATATATATAGATAGATAGATAGATAGATAGATAGATAAGATAGATAATATATATATATATATATATATATATATATATATATATATAATGTTGTATACATACCGCTGTGGAAAATACATAAATGTATATAAATTTCTTTGATTTGTGTGATATTTGCTCAGCAGAGGCAAAGCTGAAAGCATCTCACCGTTTCTTCTCAACGTTAATTCAATTGTATTGCAAGCAACGCATGTATGTTTAGCGAAATCCAATGATATTAGATAATATCCATCATTTATCAATTTCAGTTTAGAAATTTTCAATAAATCTAAACGCCATGAGTTACGACCCGAAACAAATATTAAGATTTAGAAATGTTTAATCCACGAGATAAGGATTCTTCAAGCATATTCTCAGGCATTGGAAATCTGGAATATATTTCCTAATCTGGAACATATTTCGTTGCTGAAAAACAATGTAAATATAAGGAATTCAATGTAAGAGACAATGAAAACACGTCGAGTGTTCAGCATGATTGAAATATTTTCACGTAGTAATTTACGTAGAAAAGTAATACAATATAAGGAAAATATATATTTGTTCTGTTTTAACGTTCTATTAAATCTAAAAGTCAGAGAAAATTGCTTTGACTTAAAGGAAAATGTTCTGATAGAATTTTTCTGGTGCAGCCACAACATAATCTAGCGGCCACGTGTGGTCTTGCACAAATATGTTTCGTTTTGTTGTAGCAAGTCTATCTTGTTATCTTTATCTCAAAAGACGTACAGAATAAAAAGTTTTTAAAATAGCTTATTTCCTTCTCTAATTCAATAAATTGTTTCTCAATTTTATGAAACAAGTTTGGAATCAGATATGCATTCCCAAAACAGTGTTTATCACGTATTAATTCATTATGAAAACAGAAAGTTAACGATAAAACCTTCATTCATACAGAGGTATTTCTAATTGATCCATCATGGTGAAATTATTAATGAATTATTAACTACGCTCGCATCGTTTTATGAAAGACAGCTCCATACAAATTTGTTTGGTTTTTGTTCTGGAATTGGATGAAACAATTGTATTTATGTCACTAAAAGAAAACCCAATATATTGCTTATATTTCTAATGATAATATTTATACCTGCTTTGTCGACTGCAGAACAGCATATGACCAGATTTATCCTTCTTATCATAAGAAACCTTCTTACAAGAAACGAAACAACTGAATACACTGATCTGCATAGTGTTATATATCTGATGAGGACCCCACTACGGAAATATTTTAGGTGTCGTCAGGAGTACAACAAAGAGGGGACGATTCTTCTTTCCCGCCAGAAGACAAAGTAATTCTGATGGCATAGGTGTTTATAACTGGGACAAGAATCATTTTGAACAGAAAATCAGCATCCTCTATCAAGTGCTCCTAGAAATACGATTCAAGATAGACCT